TGTTTTATTTGTGTATAATAAAGGAAATTACTGTTTCTGTTCCCACATTCTTCATTTACGATGACAGATTTTAGACAGCATTGCAGTGTCTCACAAAGAAGCCTGAAATAATTTCACTGCAAATTTTTCTTCCATGCCAATTCTGTGGATCATTAATGCTGTGTCTAGTTCTCATTATTCAAGGACTCAGCTCACAGCTTCTTTCATCCTGCCTTCCCTTCCTTCTTTATGCCATTTCCAACCTGGCTGCTGGCTAATGGAGAATTTTCTGCCGCTTCTGCACCACTGTTTTACCTCTTTTTCAGCATATGCATTTTTATTTACTCTTTCTCCAAAATCCATTTTGGGATGAACAGGAAAAAAATAGTGTAGTTACTATAGAAATGTGTGTTTTTTTAATTTAAACATAATTTTACATACATATATGCCATATATTATATTTATACATACATATGCTACCCCTACACAGTAACTAATATTACATCTTGTAATGAATATTACACATCAGGCTCTGCAGTCATTACTGCACTGCAGCTCTCAGGGATTACTGAGGAAGTAGAAACCACTTTCACTGCAACACTTACCTCCTTTGGGATAATGAGATGGTGAAACAGTAAAATCCATCTTATCCTTCAGATCATCTTCATTTTCCTTCTCCCACTGCAAGCCTATCTTTTCCCAGTAAGTCCATGCCAGTTTCCTAGATAATAGAGGAAAAGAATAATAGAGGAAAATAAAATAAGAGCTTTATACCATCATGCCCCCAGAATTAAAACTTCTAAAATGGGACTTCTAGAAAATCTGACTTCTTAAATTCAGCTGGAAGGATGGGAAGCATTCCTGCCATTTAACCCAGGCACATTGAGAGTTTATGCTTCTTTTGTACTCAGTGGACAGAGGTCACCTCTTCCAAAGGATAATTCTGTCTCTGTCTACCTCTCTGTCTTCGTCTCTCTCATACTTACTTGAATGTAGCATAGAAGAACAATATAAGCAAAGTTACTGAGGATAATGCTGTCATTTTGGGCTTAAGAAAAAACAAAGAAACAACCCCTTGGATGGGATTTTTTTCCTCCAAGCAATACATCTGTGAACATAGAAACACTTCCACATATGACAACTACATAAGGGTGGGGGGGGAGAGAAATTTTCTGCTTACGTATTTTCAGGAATTTCATCAGTAAAGCTGCCAAGTAACAAAGGGATCAACTTGTGAAAATATGAGTATCTGTCTCGTAGGTGCAACAACCATTCTCCGATGACAGTTGTTACAGCGTGACGAACCTACATGGATACAAAAAGACTGTTTTAAATATACCAAGAAAATACCAGAAAAATTAAAAAATAGTGTTTACTTTTGGTACATAAGACTTGGTAAAGTGCATCAGTAGTCTCAGAAGTTACAAGAACAGGATTTCCACATCGCAGCAAGCAACTTAAGCAATATGCAAGGTATCAGGCTCCCTCTTGTTTTCTCACTCTGGCTTTACTGCTGCACAAAAGCACGTCTCCAAGAGGAAAACAAGATACAAACCTAACTCAGAAAACTCTTAAATTCTCATGGTTGGTATCTCTCTGAGAATATATGAAATGTACATTCTTTGAAATGTGAGGATTTCCAACCACATCTCCAGAAGACAATTTTCTCTGTTCACTATAAAGGAAGCTTAAGCTAAATAACGTGAATATACCCACTCAAAAATTAAAAGTATTTTAGTTATGACTAAGTTGCAGATTTTAAAATCACTGCCTCAATCACATCTTATGAAGGGACCAATACCAGAAGTGTTTGTTAAGCACCTGAAAAGGCCACAGAATCAAGTCCCAGGGAGATTTAATGTAAGAATTTAAGACAGAACTGAAGGCAACCATTGAAATAAAAGGATGTCTACAAACACCCACAGCCTGAAGAAATGGACAGCAGATGAACAAGTGGCCAACCTTGGGTTTGGACAGTGTACAACTGGCAAAGCCTGTATGTGACATATTTACGTATCTTAATGTAATAAATGAAAGCTGAAAACTGCGAAGGGTGAGGGAGGAAAGCACCAAACCAATCCAGGAGGGGAAAAAAAAATAAAATAAGCACACCTTGGGAATTTCATCAAAAAATCTCTGGGCCAGATGAGACAGAACATCATCCACAGACTTCCCATTTCCAAACTGTATCACTGCTCCCGTAGCCTGAATTACATCAACACGAACTCTGTAGTGCTGGTGCGATATTGTTTGCATTAAGGGTTTTATCAGAGATTCTGACTGCATATGGAAGTGCTCTGTTAGGGCAGAGAGACAGAAACTTCAAGTGTGCCTTTCTCTATGCATGTGACAGACCTTGAGCAACATGATTTCTGTAACACTATGAACAGCAGCCTGATTACTGTCACTGCATTTGCATAGCACTCAAATTTAACTTTATACTATATTAGAGCTGAATGCTAGCCCACATGCACTCCCCTAACCTTCTCCTCCCGCTATTACCCACATACTGTAACAGCTTAGCATCCATGCCTGGTACAGCCTTCATCCAACATATCCTCCAAGGCCTGAAGAGTACACCTGTGAGGATGTGTGCAACTTCTCATCTCTCTCCCTCTCCTGCTTGCATCCCTACAATCTCCTACCGGTCCCCACCTCAGCCCCTGTCACCCCAGGAGACTGGAGGCTCACATTAGCCCACTGCTCCTCTCTTTGTCCATCCCTAGGCCCCACCTGGCATGGCCTGGGCGCAGGCCACAGCGCTCCTGCAACTTTCACGCCTGACCTCGGCATAGTTGTCGAGGAGTGTGGTCTGGAGGATGCGGATAACATCGCTGAGGTAGGGGGCCATGGAGGCCCCGCACCGCAGCAGCAGGAGGCTCAAGAGCTGGACTAGGCCGAGGCGCAGCTCCTCGCTGGGCTCGAAGCCCTGCGGCGGGCAGAGACGCTGGGCCAGCAACGGCAAGAGGACGGGCAGCGCCTCGCCGGGCGGGTCGCCGTGACTGACCCCGTGGCAGAGAAGCTGGAGGGCGAGCTCCCGGCACCGCTCCGCCGCGTCCCCCGCCACGCAGCGCGCCAGCGGCCGTAACAGCTGCGCGCCGAAAACCTCCTGCACCACGGCGTCCGAGAGCGGCCGCCCCAGCACCTCGGCGCGGATGGCCTCCAGCGCCCGCAGCCGCGCCGCCCGGCCGCAGTCGGGCTGCTGCAGGCAGCTCAGCTGCCGGCTCACGGCCTGCGCCACCTCGGCCGCCCCGACCGCCGCCATGCTCGCCTGTCGCTACGGAAATGGCGTTACTAAGGACGCGCGAGGCTTTTACGACGGTGGCCGAGCGCTTTACAGCTTTACACACCGACGGCGGTGGGGTGGGCTTTGGGGGACGGGACGGGACGGTTCAGCTCTCGTTGCGTCTCCGCCGCGCGGAGGGGACGTCCCAGGCCCCGCAGCAAAGCACCGAGGAGGCAGGGCGGTAGTTTCAGCAGGTATGATAGCTTCCAGCAGCATAGGAACCCGTTATTCGTATGTCGCGGGGAGAAAGGAGAAGCAAACCTGAGGGAAACCCACGGGTGCCTGTAGCTGGTGGAAGGGCTGAGGGGTAGGGCTGAGGAGACCCGCGCAGGGAGATGTTACCCTGTGGAAACTTCCACAGGTAACATGCTACTTGCATCACTTGTCCCTTCATTCTTTTTTCTCTGGAGGGATCAATACTGCAGTGGCAGCAGTATTACCATTTTTACCAGTTCCTGTAACAGCCTTATGTAATTTTTAGTGTTCGTTTGTATTAATATATATATAGTGTTCATATTGTACTTATGTGCACTTTACACAACCTGACATTTTGTGTGCTATTCTGATGGCTGTGATCAGCACACCTCAAACCAGAAAGGTCACCAGGGTTCTTTTCTTGACTACTCATACTTGAAGTGCAATAAACTACAGAACTAATTCAAATTATTCTTTTAAAATCATAGAATCACAGAATGGTTTGGGTTGGAAGGGACCTTAAAGCTCATCTAGATCCAATTCCCTGCCACAAGCAGGGACAACCTTCCACTAGTCTGGAGTGCTCAAAGCTGTCCAGCCTGGCCTTGAACACTTCATAGCAGTCTATTCTGTTGTTATGCTGCTCTTCACTTGACTGTGAACCTTTGGAGTTTTTTTTCACCCTTTATTCTGTGGGAGCCACAAGTGTGAGCTCCCTAGGAGCAGAGGAAATACTAACGTGTATTGGAGCATTCCTGACAGCACACACGGGCACCTGGCCCAGCAAAGGTGCTGGCCCTTGTCTGAGCCCTGTCTGTAACCACACTCCTTATGGACCTTGCATGGATGTGCTCCTGGAGGTGATGATTTGCTCTAAATACCCAAGTGACTAGTCTGGTGAGATGCTCTTCCTGAGCTACAGAGTGCAACAGGCCTGGTGGCCCCTGGGCCATGGAGATATTGGGGCTGTGCACTCCTACCTGGACTCATCAGCCCATCCTTCATGGCCAGCCTGTCCTTCATGGTCAGGCTGTTCTCTGTGGCCAGCCCATCCTTCGTGGCCAACCCGTACTTCTTGGCAAGGCAATATTTCACAGCTAGACTATTGTCCTTTGTGGACAGCCCATCCTTCATGATTTGGCCACCTTTCATTTGTGGCCAAGCTGTTGTCCTTCATGTCTAGCCTGTGCTTAATAGTCAGGCCACCTTTCATGGCCAGCTCATCTTTTGTGGCCAGGCCACATTTCAGGGCCAGCCTGTCCTTCATGGCCATTCCCATCCTTCATGGCCAGGCCACCTTTCGGGTCCAGCCCATCCTTTGTGGTGAGGTGTATCTCTCACGGCCATGCCCATCCCTCATGGCCACGCCGTGGACCTTTGTGTCAGCCCGTACTCGGCTACCGGGCCTGTCTTCCGGGGGCCAGCCCGTCCCCAGTGCGGCGAGCAGGGCAGCCGGTGAGGTGCGGGCCCTTTCGGGCCGCCTCTCCCGCGGAGGCGGCGGGAAGGCCGCGCCCGCCGGTGAGTGACGGCGGCGGCGGGACTTCCTGCAGGCGGGCGGGCGAGCGGCGGCAGGGTCGGAGCTTTTGTGCGGGAGCAGCGGGGTGCGGGTCCCCGGGCGTGCAGCGAGGAGAGGCGACGGCGGCTGCAGGGCGGATACCGACAGGGGAGCCCCTTTCTCTGCCTCCACTGCCGGGGAAGGATTGAGGTGCTGCCGCCGCCGCTCAGCCGCCTCCAGTCATCAGGTATTTACCGGCCCCTCCGTCCCGCGCTGCCCTCAGCGCTCCCCTGGCAGCGGCCGGGAGCGGAGCTTGGTGCGGGGGAGGCAGGGACGGGCCGATCTCCCAGCCCGGGCCCGGGGGATGCGCTGCTCGGGGTCGCCCTGCCGGGGCCGGGGCCGCGGCCGCCTCTGGGCTCTCCCGCCCCCCTGGGCCTGCCCCGCTGCCCGCCGTGCGCGCACCGCTCCGTCCCGTTCAGCCCCGGAGCTCCCAGCGTGCCGGGCAGGAAGGGACGGTGTAACCGCTGCTGTCGCGGATTTTGGTTTGCAAAGGAGGGGTCGTATGCTCGCTGAGGGCAATAAAGAGGAGTTTGGGGTTGTTTTCTCCCCCAGTTGCCGAACCTCGCCTTGGACGGCTCAGCTGCTTCCTTCCAGTCTTCCCCCGGACCTGTAACGGTCCCTTGCTGTGAATGGGGGAGAAATTAAAATTTACCAGAAAACTGGTGATGGGGAGGGAGTCCCCAAGGGAATAGAAAACCTAGGCTTTACACTGGCATTTAATAGCTGTCTTTGAAACGCATGGCTTTGTGTGATTAATTGCACGGGTTTTGCCCAAAGGTTGACCACCGTCTAGGAGTTAAAATCCTCTTTTTGTACTTACTGGTGTGTTGGTTGTACAAAGATGACACAGTTCAGCATTTCCACATACAGCTCCAGAACATTAAAACCTTCAGCGCTGATAGCTCTTGAATAGGCAACAGGCAATATTAAAATGTCTTTGCTCCCTCAGATCTCCCTGACAAAGGATTTGGGAACTGTTTCTTATCTCTTTCTTGCACCATTTTCTTACCTAGGTCTGTTTTCTGTTTACAAGCCTGAAGATGGCTGCTGCTTCTTCCTGCAGTGTTGAAGAAGACGAGAGCCTGAAGGGATGTGAACTCTATGTTCAGAAGCATAACATCCAACAGATTTTAAAAGAGTGTATTGTAAACCTTTGCATAGCAAAGCCAGACCGACCCATGAAGTTCCTCAGAGAACACTTTGAAAAATTAGAAAAGGTCAGTGATTTTCAGGTGATTTGTAATTTTTCATTTGTAAACTGAAAAACTTTATTTAAAAAGTTTCAAACATTTTGGTATATTTTTCCTTTAAAATTTTAAATTATCAAACTGCTGTTAAGAACAGACTCTTAGAAGAAAAAACCCTTGCTCTTTCTTTATTTGCTGATGTTTGCTATAATATTTGCTATAATCTAGAATTTTTTGTGCATAACACCAAGGTTATAATTTTTCCTCAAACTGCACTTGTTAAAAATGACCTGAAGAGTTATCAGTGTACTTTGTGTTACGATACATGGAGTCCTGAACTTTACTCTATGGGAAGAACCTGCCTGCAAAATCAAAAGTTGTTGTTCCCTGTTTATTCCAGTGTCAGGTGATGTGGTTTCCCCTTCTCCTAAAACTGAACTATATCAGGGAACCGGGAAGTTCTAAAAACCATGGAGCAGTTTGCTGGTTTGTTTTGCTGCTCTTACCCGTCTGCATTGCTTATTCCAGGATCCTCCAACATGAGATGCATTCAGAGAGAGACTTAATACACTGTGAATGTCTTCAAAAGCAGCATAGAAGGGGAAATGTTTTAAAACATTCCCAGACAAATCCTACTGGACAAATCTACTGGTGTCTTTTGCAGGATGTGCATGTTGTATGAGCACAACTTTTCCGGGGATGTGATTCCTCCAGAAATAAGTGGAATCACAGGGCTGCAAGTTGTTGGTTATATGAGTTCTCAGTCTGCCAGAGACTTTATTAATATACTTAGTTTATGAAGATGATTATTTGCTTTTTTTGAATGAAATGTTTCAGGTTTGTAGGCTTAAGATGTAAGTCTTGTGTGATTTTTTTCCTTCCAGAGGCAGAATTTTGCAAAGACAGAGCAAGAACAATAATAACTAGTGAATAGTACATAGATCTGATACAAGTGATAAATACATTTTATATATGTCACTGTCCACTTTTTGGATGGTTTCTTTTTTTATAGGTGAGTATATGCCAGATTTGTGTAGCTTTAAAAAAATGCAAACATTGCCTTTTGGTGGAAGCCCAATAAGAATGCCTGCAATGTCAGGGAGGGGTAGGAAGTACAAGAGGTTTTTTAACTATAATGTTTCTTATTAAAAAAAAACCCCAAACCTCATAGTTCTGCATGTTCTAAACTACTGAGAGCCACAACCCATTTCAGGAGAGTGAAGTCTGTTGAATTTCCATTATCATGTTACAAGTTGTTACCCATCTTTCTTTGTGCCGTTCTGGACCTCCTGGCAAGAAGTATAAACACAAGTTTTGCAAAAAATGCTAAAATATGCCATAGTATTTTAGGATATTCTCCATAGCTAGTGGGATTACTTCAGTTGTTGTACTGAGGGAGTTTGGCTTTATCGATTCAAACGCAATACACAGAATTGAGATACGAAGGCAGTTTCTATCGCTGAGTAGTTAGATCCTCATAGAATCATAGAATGGTTTGGGTTGGAAAGTTGCCTTAAGATCATCTGCTTCCAACCCCCCTGCCATGGGCAGGGAAACTGCACAGTAAACCATGTCACCAAAGGCTCCATTCAGCCTGGCCTTGAACACTGCCAGGGATGGAGCATTCACAGCTTCCTTGGGCAAGCCATTCCAGTGCCTCACCACCATAACAGTAAAGAACTACTTCCTTATATCTAACCTAAACTTCCCGTTTTAAGTTTGAGCCCATTCTTTCATGTAACTTCCTATTATTTCCCAAAGAATAGCAGATTCCACAATCTTATAGCAGAATATCAATCAGAATGCAAATGCAGAAGCTGATGGGTATCACTTCTCTCAAAACAAAGGAGATAATTTAGAAACAACCAGTCTCAAGGCATTAAGATCAGTGAATATTGTGCTTAGTATGGAAGGAAATAATCTTGACACCGACTCTCCAGAGCAGCCTGGGAGCTAAGCTTGCTAGGCCTAAAGGCCTTAGGATGCTTCTGGAGGTTTCCAGCACTGTAATTCTCCTTCCTTTAGTGCTTTGACTTTGTTGCTGAGCCACCTCTGATGACTTTCTTGTGATGAACTGCACTATTCTGCTCTAGGGTAGTATTTTGACTTGGTTGGTTACAGAATAACAGTTGAAGGAAGGTTTGTAAAGCTAGAGAAATAATTTCAATGAGTTTTATCTTGTTTTTAGAAGAATCTTGTCATATATATGTATTTTTAAGAATCTTAATGGACTTGTGAATTTAGCAATTGCCCATTAGAGCAATACACTGATATGGCACATTCACTATTAGCTCCTTTAACTTTGTGCCTGTGCAGGGAGAGGTGTGAAAATCTTTAGGTTTAGCACGATTTTCTAACAAAGTCACGTATTTTTCCACCAAAGTGTGATATTTTGGGGTTGTTTTCCAAACTCATTAAAATAGACAACATGCTTCACTGAAGAGAGCAGTAGAATAACAGTTTCTCTGTCAAAAAATCATGTGGGCAGTTTGGAGATGAAGTGTGGGATATTTTTCAAGTAGTTAAAAGAGGAGCTTATGGAAAATGTGTAGAGCTCGATCCACATCAGTATTTTCGAGCTACCTCAGAGGTGAATACAGAAAAAAGTTTATTTCATTGTGCTAATTCTTAACTACATCCCATAAAATCAACTTAGAAAAGCAAGTTTTATTATCACATGCAAGATCAGATCTTAAATGCTCTTCACCTTACTTCTGATGACATCAATGTCAGGTCCACTGCCTTCAGCCTACATCTGTACTGCTGAATGAAAAAGGGCCAGGGACTAACCCCTGACCCCACAACACTAACTGGCCCCGGATATTATTCTTAGGCCTAACACATCTAGGAGCAGGTTTGTTTTGGCAGGAGTCAGTACGAGCAGCTCAGAACAGAGCCAGGGAATGAGCTAAGAGTTGAGGGATGTGGACTGTCCTGAGCTAGTATTCAGGTCCAAGGCTGGGCCATTTTTTATTTCACAGTATAGACATGGCCTGAGAGGGCTGTAAAGTGAGAACATGAATAAACACTTAGGAATAAAGTGCAAAAGGTTGAGATTTGATGTTTGATTCCACAGGCGTCGTTTTCAGATGGAGAAGTGCCATGGTTAGAATGAAATGCCTGATGCCTTTTTAAGTTTGCAGCTTATTTGTATCAAGTACAGTATCAGAAAACAGCCCTCTGAAAACAGTTGGAGGACATCGATATTTTTCTGTTCACTTAGTACTGGCAGGACCTGCTTGTCTTAAGATGCCAGTAACTGCTGGGAATCAGCCTAAGTTTCTGTGTTCTGAAGTTTGCAAGTCAGTTTTCACATGCTGTGACTTACAAACTTCAAGATGTACTCTGATCACGTTAACAGATAATTTCTTAAAATCTTTAACATTCCATTGAGCACAGAAAAAGAGTTGAAAACAGTTTAGATACCTTAGATTTCCAGAATTATGTAATGTTTTCTTTCGAGTAATTTGTTTTATATTCCCTGTGACCTTACAGAACTTCCTGTTGGTGGAGTGAGTGAGAAAAACCTTTCCCTTAGGGATATTAATTGTTTTTTTTAGAGTTTGGGAATAGATGTTAGCTAAGAAACTGTGGCATTATTTGAACAGCTGTAATTATGTTCTGTTTACATGAGGGCTAAGAAAGATGTAGCACAAAGAAACTGAACTCATCTTTTATCTCTAGTTCTTACCTTATGTAAAGAAGTTAATTACTAAGAAATTACAGGCAAAGCCTTGTGTTTTCAGCTATGCTGAGACTGCAAAAGCTTCATTAGTGTCAGGCTGTTTAGTGTCGTGATTATGTGATCAAAGGTGGAGTTGTCTTGCCAGGCTAAGTTAGCCTGTTTTCAGCAGAAAAAAGATAACTAAGAAAGAGCAGAACTAATGAAGAAAATTACACAAAAGAAGGAGAATCAGCAGGATATGTTTAGGCATTACAAAGTACTTTTCTGAAGTAATTTTGCATGCCCTGTATTTGAGAGCTGTGGCTTTGCTGGCTGGGCCAGGTGGTTTTTGCTGATGCCTTCTGGGCTCCTTCATTCTGTGCTCCTGGTCCCTTTATTGCGCTGTGCACATGCAAGAAATACTGTATTGCACATAGTGAACTTACTGTCTTGGATTCCTGTGGATTGGGAGTGGCCTTATGGACCTAGGCTGCTGCTGCATTTCTTAAGGTGCTATCCAGTAATACCAGTTTTAGAAAAACCCGCATTCTACGGTCTGTAATTAGCTAAAGCAAGATAGGATTATTTGTGTAGCTCCACCTGGTGATATTAGACAGTATTGCACATAGACCTGGTCAGAAAAATGAAGGCATTTGTGTGCCAGGTTTGCTGTAAACTAGCAGCGAGAAGCAACTGTCTACTAAACTAGAAATTCATTCACTGTTGGTAAAATACAGTTTATTTATTTAGCATAAAGAGTTTCAGAAACAAAGGTTTTTGAGCATTAGGATTTTCTTCTGCAGCAGTCGTCTCTCCCAGGATTTACATTTTGCCACAACAAGAAAATGTTCAATCAGTAATTTCCACCAGAACCTTTCCAAAACAATGAAATTCGTTCTTATAAGCACAGGTGATTATGCATAATGAAACTCATTCTTTTAAGATAAGCTGGGGAAAGGTTATGGATTGGAAGGGAAATCTACAGTGGAAAAACTATAAAAAATGCATTAACTAAGCAGTTGGATAAAGACGAATAAGGTGCTTCTGTATCTCTCAAAGCTTGTAAAGCAGGTGGTCAGTATCTGTTTGGTGGTCAGAAATGTTGCTAAAGTATGTGGGAATATACCTGAGCTACCCGAGATGCTGACAGCAGCACAGCAGTGGGAGTGCTGGGTGCCCGTGTTGTGTGACTGCGGTTCTGGGTAGGCTTGGGCAGCCTCTGCTCCTGCCCCTCCTCTGGTATCAGAACCAGGGAGAGGTGATTGAAAATCAGCTCAGGTGAGACCTCTGTGATTGCTGTAGTCAGACACAGGCAGTGTTATGAGAGATGGCAGTTTTCTTGGAACAAGTAAAAGGAAAAGCTAGG